GCACATGACTGATCCCTCTTCCATCTGGCACATGACTGATCCCACTTCCATCTGGCACAAGAATGATCCCACTTCCATCTGGCACATGACTGATCCCTCTTCCATCTGGCACATGACTGATCCCACTTCCATCTGACACATGACTGATCCCACTTCCATCTGGCACATGACTGATCCCTCTTAGATCTGGCACATGACTGATCCTTCTTCCATCTGGCACATGACTGATCCCTCTTCCATCTGGCACATGACTGATCCTTCTTCCATCTGGTACATGACTGATCCCTCTTCCATCTGGCACATGACTGATCCTTCTTCCATCTGGCACATGACTGATCCCTCTTCCATCTGGCACATGACTGATCCCTCTTCCATCTGGCACATGACTGATCCCTCTTCCATCTGGCACATGACTGATCCCACTTCCATCTGGCACAAGAATGATCCCACTTCCATCTGGCACATGACTGATTCCTCTTCCACCTGGCACATGACTGATCCCACTTCCATCTGACACATGACTGATCCCACTTCCATCTGGCACATGACTGATCCCTCTTCCATCTGGCACATGACTGATCCTTCTTCCATCTGGCACATGACTGATCCCTCTTCCATCTGGCACATGACTGATCCCTCTTCCATCTGGCACAAGAATGATCCCACTTCCATCTGGCACATGACTGATCCCTCTTCCATCTGACACATGACTGATCCATCTTACATCTGACACATGACTGATCCATCTTACATCTGACACATGACTGATCCCACTTACATCTGGCACAGGACTAATCCTATATCTATCTGGCACAGGACTAATCCTATATCTATCTGGCACAGGACTAATCCTATATCTATCTGGCACAGGACTAATCCTATCTCCATCTGGCACAGGACTAATCCTATATCTATCTGGCACAGGACTAATCCTATATCTATCTGGCACAGGACTAATCCTATATCTATCTGGCACAGGACTAATCCTATATCTATCTGGCACAGGACTAATCATATCTCCATCTGGCACATGACTGATCTCACTTCCAGGCTTTGAGATGTTTTGGCATACAATGCCGGCCATATATGTTTGATACACCAGTCAGCACTCAACGAATGATGTGCTCAATATTATACTGGCCAGCTTGACTTTCCAGGACATTTCCTATAACATCTTTGTAATGGACTATTTTCTCCTTGCTGTAAATTCTCTCATTACTTAGGAATGAAAACACCTGCTAAGCATAAATTATTTAGGAGAATCCGATTGGCTGGCACTGATTACTAAGTATAATGTATGTCTGAACAAATCACATGTCAATCAATGTGAGCATGAAGTTTGTGCAGTCTGATCAAAACATGCCAAGCAAAGAAATCTGGAAGCGTGAAAAGAGTTTTGAAGGGCAGTAGAATGTTGAACTAAGAATTGACCTCACAATACTCAGGATACTCCCATAAGCACTCCGTTCCCAATATAAGTACCGCTACATCCAAGGATAGAAGAGGAAATTAAACGTCTTCTCCTTCTTTCTCTGCATTTGCCCTTAAAAATGGTGATTGCCAGATTGTTTTGTGGTTTACAGCTAGGCTGTCGTATCTGCACCCTTTGGGTCAGCACATTCGACTTCAGAAAACACATTTTATAACACACTTGTTAGAGGGCAGTGGATGTAATTATCCCCCCCCCCCTCCCTCTGCTTCCAGGGATACTGGAACCCACATTGAGAGAAAGACCAAACAATACGATAACATATCTCCACCTGGCAGGGTAGAATGAGAAGGACTAAATAACAATGTAAGGCACTTCACATCTAAAGTGTAAAATAGGAAAGATATTTTAAAAAGATTTTTTTTTTTTTTAGTATCGAGAAGCCATGAGTTGTTAACCCTTAGGCTCGGTATTATGGATATCGCAACCTTTCGGCCTTGATTCCATTGTAAATACCGTAAATCTGATTGAACCCGGACCACAAGGAGTTCATCACCCGCTCACCGCGCAATCCGGTTTAGCCAACTACGCTAGAGAGACGGGCACATTTAAAAAAAGATAAGATAGCTGTGTCCACTTTTACCCTTTGAGCTCTGCAGTCTGGGAAGCAGCATGTCCTGTGCGGCTGTGTGACAGAATTGTCAGTTGCCTTGTTGTTGTTACAGCAACGATTGGAGTTATCTGCCCCTGGACTGTGTCCTGAATTCTGAAGAGTCTCTCTGCTAGACTGTGTGACACACACGCTGTTCTCGCATGATGGCTGAGGATCTGAATGGGAACCCATGGATGGATACTGGCTGTTGAATTCTTCCTGAAGAAGTTGTGTAAGGAAATGTTCAGTTAATCTATGTTTTACTCACACAATCACAACCACACCATCACAACCACACCATCACAACCACACCATCACAATTATGTGATAGATTTCAACAAAAAAGAGCAGTCTGCGTCATCGTCCAATCATCATTGTCCGTCTTTAATCACATCATCATTCAATCATCATTGTCCATCTTTAATCACATCGTCATCCAACCATCATTGTCTGTCTTAATCACATCATCATCCAATCATCATTGTCTGTCTTTGATCACATCATCATCCAATCATCATTGTCTGTCTTTAATCACATCATCATCCAATCATCATTGTCCGTTTTTAATCACATCATCATCCAATCATCATTGTCCATCTTTAATCACATCGTCATCCAATCATCATTGTCTGTCTTTAATCACATCATCATCCAATCATCATTGTCTGTCTTTGATCACATCATCATCTAATCATCATTGTCTGTCTTTAATCACATCATCATCCAATCATCATTGTCCGTCTTTAATCACGTCATCATTCAATCATCATTGTCCGTCTTTAATCACGTCATCATCCAATCATCATTGTCCGTCTTTAATCACATCATCATCCAATCATCATTGTCTGTCTTTAATCACATCATCATCCAATCATCCTTGTCCATCTTTAATCACATCATCATCCAATCATCATTGCCTGTCTTTAATCACATCATCATCCAATCATCATTGTCCGTCTTTAATCACATCATCATCCAATCATCATTGTCTGTCTTTAATCACATCATCATCTAATCATCCTTGTCCATCTTTAATCACATCATCATCCAATCATCATTGCCTGTCTTTAATCACATCGTCATCCAATCATCATTGTCCATCTTTAATCACATCATCATCCTATCATCATTGTCCGTCTTTAATCACATCGTCGTCGAAATTAAGTGCCACTCCAAAATGTAAAAGTGTTTACTACCATCCACAAACTTTGGGCTCCTGGTCCTTGAGAAGTTTATCCACTGGCTCCTTCCTCTGCCAGTTTCCCAAACCATCTCTTTGTTCTCTGCCCCGTTCCTTTTCCTCTTCCCTCCCCTGTTTCTTTCTTTGTTCTCTGCCCTGTTCCTTTCCCTGTTCCCTCTAATCCTGCTCTTTTGATCCTACTCTCGTCCTTTGCACCTCCTCATCTTCCTCTGCGCCTGATCCTAGTTCTTGATATTGTTTCTCTTCCTCCTTCTCCACTACTTCTCACTCCTGATCTGGCTCACTTTTGCTCCTCCTGTGTCACCCACTCTCCTGCCCTCAAAACACACAGGGGAGAATCACCTCTCCTCTTCCCAAATCACCAGGTCAATCAGAAATCAACTCACATCCCTGTCCACCACCACTGCTGAGCTAACATGGACCAGTTATAGGAGCAACAAGGATTCTCAAACTGTGACGGGACATGACCCCCTCCCACTTGACAGACATCTAAATCAACTTCCAACTAATTGAAAAGAATTTTTTTGCAAGAGAAATTGTTTGACACAAACAGGAGTTGAACCCTGATCCAGTTGTGACCCTTGAGACTGACCTGAAATGGTTCACACTGGCCATTGTTTAGTGCCTGGATCAAGTGCTGGATTTTGTCATATCCATAGTCACCTGCAGCCACCTCAATCACTGTTGATGACAAATGGAGTATTTTCATTTTCATTACATATTCAGTCAACATTTAACTTTTTGTCAGCAGTTTCATTTCAGAGTTAACTTATGACATGGTTATAACTGACTGTATGTAGGTAACTAAATTCAGCAAGAAGCAGCCCAGGATATATTCAGTTGCTGCTCCTTTATCTTCTTCTTATTCTTCTTCCACTTCTTACTCTTCTTCTGACTCCAAATTCCTACCCTTCTTTTCCTCCTCCTCCTTGTTCATCTTATTTTTTTTATTTCTTCCATTTTCTTCTTACCCTTCCTCTTTATCATCTTCTTCGTCCTATTATTATTAGTAGTATTATTTGTCTTCCTACTCTTTTCCCCCTTCCTCTTTCCCTTCTTTTTCTGTCTCATCCTCCTCCACTTTTCCATCCAATATAGTTATTTATATTCTGGTGGCTTTCAGCTGAGGTGTGATATTTGCCTCATTTGGCCAACAACGTTTGTTACCCAGACTAGGCTGCCCAGCAAGTATGTTATAACAAGGACAGACCACTCACCGTAGTCTGCAGGATTGTGGTAGTTTGGGCACTTCAATCCTTGCTTCTCAAAGTAGGGCAGAAGTGCCCTGATAGTGCCTCGGTAAATGCACTGACCATCCACCAGAAGATATAGCTGTGCATTCGAGAGAGAAAAGGACATTATAGTTTGTGGTTAACATCTAACAGAAGCTAAGTGTATGATATTATATGGAGCTGAAACATGGAGAATAACTAGAGCAATATTTAAGGAAATACAAATATTTATGTCCTTGCAGTGAAACCCACAAAGTAAATGGAATACAGGCAGACAGAAAAACACATGGAGAAGGGAATGAGAGAGTGAAGTAACAAAGATGTAGAGAACATGAGGTAAGCTACACATGAAAGCCAAAGAAATGATAACCTGATGTGTCAGCTTGCTGGTGCCTGTGTTGAGCTGGAGCAAATAAAGAAGAAGGTAGAGTTGTGAGAGAATGTATGATTAACATATTTATTCAAAAACATAAACATCAGCATTATGAAAATTAAATGAAATATTAAGCTGACTTTTCTGAATACACTTATCAATATTTCTACAGATGTCACTCATCACGCAAAATAAAACAGAGCGGTAGGTTACAAACTGTAATTGCAAATTCTGGGTTTGTTTCCACATACATAATTACATTTCACCATATGTTACATTTTCATTCTTTGTCAGCTAACTTTCATATGCTAATGTGATATCATACTTCAGTTGTATCAGAATAGAAACCAAATAAGCAGAAAATGTCAATGTTTTGAGAATATGACTCCCTCCTGTGGCAACATGTGGGCCTGAGTTATTCTATGTTTCACAAAATTATGGATAATAGTTATTTCTCACTTCACAAACACGTGGATGGGAGTTATTTCCCATTTCCCAAACATATGGATGGCAGTTTTTTCCCGTTTCACAAACATATGGATGGGAGTTATTTCCCTTCTCACAAACATATGGATGAGAGTTATCCCCTATTTCACAAACACTAGTGAAAAAACAGGAGTCGTTGATGTCCTTCAATACTGGACAGACAGACTCGAGCTCTTTCTATCCTACTGTTGTGACTGTCATTATTTCTGAGACTAATTTCAAATAGAGCTTTTTATTTTCTGGGGGTGGGAGGGGGGAGGGGGTAGCATAGGGGGAGAGGGGGGAGGGTTTCAGTGCTCTCCACCAAGTGTCCATCTCTACCAAGTGTCCATCTCTACCAAGTGTCCATCTCTACCAAGTGTTCCTCTCTACCAAGTGTCCATCTCCACCAAGTGTCCATCTCCACCAAGTGTCCATCTCCACCAAGTGTCCAACTCTACCAAGTGTCCATCTCTACCAAGTGTCCATCTCTACCAAGTGTCCATCTCCACCAAGTGTCCATCTCTACCAAGTGTCCATCTCTACCAAGTGTCCATCTCTACCAAGTGTCCATTTCTACCAAGTGTCCATCTCTACCAAGTGTCCATCTCTACCAAGTGTCCATCTCTACCAAGTGTCCATCTCCACCAAGTGTCCATCTCCACCAAGTGTCCATCTCCACCAAGTGTCCATCTCCACCAAGTGTCCATCTCCACCAAGTGTCCATCTCCACCAAGTGTCCATCTCCACCAAGTGTCCATCTCTACCAAGTGTCCATCTCTACCAAGTGTCCATCTCTACCAAGTGTCTGTCTCTACCAAATGTCCATCTCTACCAAGTGTCCATCTCTACCAAGTGTCCATCTCTACCAAGTGTCCATCTCCACCAAATGTCCATCTCTACCAAGTGTCCATCTCCACCAAGTGTCCATCTCTACCAAGTGTCCATCTCCACCAAGTGTCCATCTCCACCAAGTGTCCATCTCCACCAAGTGTCCATCTCCACCAAGTGTCCATCTCTACAAAGTGTCCATCTCCACCAAGTGTCCATCTCCACCAAGTGTCCATCTCCACCAAGTGTCCATCTCCACCAAGTGTCCATCTCCACCAAGTGTCCATCTCTACCAAGTGTCCATCTCTACCAAGTGTCCATCTCTACCAAGTGTCCATCTCTACCAAGTGTCCATCTCTACCAAGTGTCCATCTCCACCAAGTATCCATCTCTACCAAGTGTCCATCTCCACCAAGTGTCCATCTCCACCAAGTGTCCATCTCTACCAAGTGTCCATCTCTACCAAGTGTCCATCTCTACCAAGTGTCCATCTCTACCAAGTGTCCATCTCTACCAAGTGTCCATCTCCACCAAGTATCCATCTCTACCAAGTGTCCATCTCCACCAAGTGTCCATCTCAACCAAGTGTCCATCTCTACCAAGTGTCCATCTCTACCAAGTGTCCATCTCCACCAAGTGTCCATCTCCACCAAGTGTCCATCTCTACCAAGTGTCCATCTCCACCAAGTGTCCATCTCCACCAAGTGTCCATCTCCACCAAGTGTCCATCTCTACCAAGTGTCCATCTCTACCAAGTGTCCATCTCCACCAAGTGTCCATCTCCACCAAGTGTCCATCTCCACCAAGTGTCCATCTCCACCAAGTGTCCATCTCCACCAAGTGTCCATCTCCACCAAGTGTCCATTTTCACTTACATGATCAAACATCTCAACAAACATTATGATAGAAAACATAATTGACTTACATGATCAAACATCTCAACAAACATTATGATAGAAAACAAATTGACTTGACTTACAAACATGATCAAAACATTTCAACAAACATTTCAATGATAGAAAACATAATTGACTTACATGATCAAACATCTCAACAAACATTATGATAGAAAACAAAATTGACTTACATGATCAAACATTTCAACAAACATTATGATAGAAAACATAATTGACTTACATGATCAAACATCTCAACAAACATTATGATAGAAAACAAAATGACTGATGATCAAACTCTAACATGATCAAATTGACTTACATGATCTCAACAAACATTATGATAGAAAACATAACTTGACAAACATTCAACAAACATGATAGAAAACATAATTGACTTACATATCAAACATCTCACAAACATGATAGAAAACAAACACTTACATGATCAAACATCTCAACAAACATTATGATAGAAAACATAATTGACTTACATGATCAAACTTTACATCTCAAACAAACATTATGATAGAAAACATAATTGACTTACATGATCAAACATCTCAACAAACATTATGATAGAAAACATAATTGACTTACATGATCAAACATCTCAACAAACATTATGAAAACATAGACTTACATGATCAAACATAACAAACATTGACTTACATATTTGACTTACATGATCAAACATCTCAACAAACATTATGATAGAAAACATAATTGACTTACATAACTGATAGAAAACTTACATGATCAAACATCTCAACAAACATTATGATAGAAAACATAATTGACTTACATGATCAAATATCTCAACAAACATTGTGATAGAAAACAAAAGTGACTTACATGATCAAACATCTCAACAAACATTATGATAGAAAACATAATTGACTTACATGATCAAACATCTCAACAAACATTATGATAGAAAACATAATTGACTTACATGATCAAACATCTCAACAAACATTATGATAGAAAACATAATTGACTTACATGATCAAACATCTCAACAAACATTATGATAGAAAACATAACTGACTTACATGATCAAACATCTCAACAAACATTATGATAGAAAACATAATTGACTTACATGATCAAACATCTCAACAAACATTATGATAGAAAACATAATTGACTTACATGATCAAACATCTCAACAAACATTATGATAGAAAAACATAATTGACTTACATGATCAAACATCTCAACAAACATTATGATAGAAAACAAAATTGACTTACATGATCAAACATTAAACATTATGATAGAAAACATAAATTGACTTCATGATCAAACATTCAACAAACATTATGATAGAAAACATAATTGACTTACATGATCAAACATCTCAACAAACATTATGATAGAAAACATAATTGACTTACATGATCAAACATCTCAAACTCATTATGATAGAAAACATTAATGACTTACATGATCAAACATCTCAACAAACATTATGATAGAAAACATAATTGATTACAAATCAAACATCTCAACAAACATTATGATAGAAAACATAATTGACTTACATGATCAAACATCATTTCAACAAACATTATGATAGAAAACATAATTGACTTACATGATCAAACATCTCAACAAACATTATGATAGAAAACATAACTGACTTACATGATCAAACATCTCAACAAACATTATGATAGAAAACATAATTGACTTACATGATCAAACATCTCAACAAACATTATGATAGAAAACAAAATTGACTTACATGATCAAACATCTCAACAAACATTATGATAGAAAACATAATGACTTACATGATCAAAACATCTCACAAAAAAACATTATGATAGAAAACATTGACTTGACTTACATGATGATAGAAACATCTCAACAAACATTATGATAGAAAACATAATTGACTTACATGATCAAACATCTCAACAAACATTATGATAGAAAACATAATTTGACTTACATGATCAAACATCTCAACAAAACAAAAGTGACATTATGATAGACAAACAAACATTATGATAGAAAACAAATTGACTTACATGATCAAACATCTCAACAAACATTTATGATAGAAAAACATAATTGACTTACATGATCAAACATCTCAACAAACATTATGATAGAAAACATAATTGACTTACATGATCAAACATCTCAACAAACATTATGATAGAAAACA